TGTCGCTACCTTATTCCAGGGACCACATTGTGCGAAGTGCGGATTCTGGCGCCGGGGTCCGGATCTGCGCAAAGGAATTGGACTAAATAGACATACAACGAGCGCGAACTCTTGGGCACTACGCTCGCACTCTCAGTGTCTGCAAAGACGATGTCCGTGAGACTGCGAGCAAGAGGCAAGAAGGATGCGATGCCTCCAGGCATTCAGAGCGAGCCACGGACGTGGCACAGTACAGAACGGGCGCAGCGTTTGACCTCATCATCCTGCGTCTCCAGCACAACGACTGGTCAAAACACGAACGGGGGCCGGAACACAATACCCGAGGCAGTGACGAGCAGGAGTGGAAAACTACGCCCAGCCATCGGTATCATATAAATCGATAAACCTCCGGATCTGTAGGGCGGGCCCGAGTGGTTGGAGCTATACGAGGGGCGCTGAGCGTGCCCTGATTTGGCACATCCCGTCCGCCAGATCCCCATCTGAACTCTGAATAGTCTGGCCACCAACCAAACCTTGACCGCTTCTTGCAGCTACAGATGGCCGGACGGAAACCACAACGATGCACTTATGAGCTGACGATGCATAAGCTGAAGGGTGTAGGAAATCCGTCCATTTGATCCGTGTCTGGCTTATGTTTCGCGATTCCTGGACAGTGTGCATCATCCACGCAAGTCCACCCTCCGGTCGAACCCGTGACTTCCGCTCGCCCCCCGCGTCACTTCGACGACGGATACCATTAACACAGGTCTTTCCTGGTAAGATGACATCCATACGACGTGCACTCACGATTGCACCCCAAGAGCACACGACGCGCGACCTTCACCGACACAATCGTTCGCCATGAAAGTCTACGCCACCGCCATCCCGAGGACCGGCAGTGTCTTCTCCAAACAGGGAAGTCGTGCTAATCCTCCATCGCGCGATCACGCTCGGCTACGAGTGAGCTTGAGCGAGGGTGATAAGATTCGACAAAACGAGAGCGGACAGAGTGCACGGGTCGCCGGCATTCGGGCCTAGTCGACCTGCCCTGCCTCGGATGTCACAACCAGCTACTCGGAAAACATGGCAGAAGTAATTAGGCAAATATAATCGCGACGCGGCGAGAGACGCAGTTGAAGACCGGCACTTTTGACGCGTGGGCGGCTATCTGGTTAACTACTGAGCTTGAACGGCACGATACAGTAGTCTGTGACCACGGAGGCTCTGGATTGAGAGAACGCG